CAGATTTAAGCTTAAAACAGTCCGGTTAACCGGACTGTTTTAAGCTTAAATCTGTGCACAGCTGAGAGAAATGAAAAATGTACAATCAGGTAAAAATGATAATTTTTAGACTGACCTGATCTTCACCAAATAAAAACTTAGAATCAGTCTTAGCAAGTACATCAGTATAGGATGTGTGCACGTAGGAGACACATTTTAACATTTATTTGTTATCAAATTATGAAAGCACATCTAACTTCACATGACTGTAAATAACATTTACAGCACTGAGCTTTAGGATATGAGACTAAATGTACAATTATCAGAAGTGCTGAAATGTCACAGGTAGGTCTGACCTTTTAGTGTATAACATAAAGGTTTCTGCAGCCTTCAGGGTTAAAGGGTTAAAGGGAAAAGAAAAGTCATTGTGTGTTACCACACGCTGTAAATGGATCAGCACTGGTTTGTCAAATGCAAATTTAATGGCAGCAGTTGGGGGAGGGATTATTACGCATTAAAAATGGAAGCATAAAACTCACCTAATGCTCCCTGACAAATATCCGTCCTTGTGGCTCCATCGTCAATGAACTTTGGGTTTGAACATAGCTCCTACAGGACAGATGGAACATTTGTGAAAAAATGAATATAAAAAGTGTAATAGACTTATTATTTTAAATTGCTTCTTACCATTGGCCTCTTCCAAACAATGTCCCTTGTCTTGGATGAGTATGGCCCCAGCTCATTGTAGCCGAGTGACTTGCTCTCGGCACCAAAGCTGTCATCCTCAAACAGGCGTCCCCTGCTCAGACACTGCTGCCGCAGTGCCTCATAGTCCTGACCGCAAAACTTCACTGGGTTCTGGTTGGTGCCGATGCCCTCCGCCCTCTGCTGCTGGTGGGCCAGTCGATCTGCAGTGGAGGTCATCTTCACCCTTTCTGAGCGCTCACTTGCAGGATTTCCTTATTTAACAACAGGGCTTGTTTGCCTTGTGAGATGCTCTTCTATGAAGGAACGCTTCCCAGAAGTGCTTTTCTCCGGGACTCCTTTATAGCGACCTATAGGGATGGAAAGATGGAGTCCGATAACAAACAGGGAGGAGCCGCTTGTGGACAGGTGAGATAGGTGGTGCAGACAGCAGCAGGCGTAAGCAAATCCACAATGAGCTCACTGTGACCACAACTGAAACAAAACAAGGACACACCTTAAAGTAACAACACCACTACCACCTCTTGTCATTTCATTTTCAGGACTAAATGTATATATTAGACGCTGGAAATGTTTGTCAAAACATCTCTCTGCTTTGAAAATGTTAATACACTATAAAAAATAATATGAATGATATATAAAAGTACATTTACCGAGACTAGTTGGTGGTAGAAACAGATTGCGTGCTGCAAATACGGGTGGGAGTTGAGGAAGAGATCCCTCAACATACTGAAGCAACAGTTTAAATATGTCAAATTTAAGATATTGTGTTTCATAACCTGAGGCACTCACTGACACACCCAGTCAGGAGTTGTAGTGTTACATCCTCATTTTGTGCTTACATCCTCCAATCGAAATATAGGGCACCAAAGCTCTAAACAAATGTTATTGTAACTCAGTTTAATCAGGAATTAAACTGATCCTTTTGTACAATGTCAGATTTGTGTTCTGTTCAATAAAATACAATAAAGTTTGTGGCCTTCAGATGACAAAATATGGAAATTATTTTGTAAAGTAGTGCATATATGGTATTATGATTAAAAATTCTTAATAATTATTCACAAATGACCATATATCCTAGAAAAATGTTTGATTACTGAGTAAAATGTTCAAAACACAGTTTGTGAATTCACGTTTTATCTGCCTTTATTAGTTTCCATCACATTTGCATAAAATCTATGCAAATGTGATGCATCTGTCTCGTTCCTCAGAGACAGAACAAGCAGCTGCTTCTCAATTCGCTCTAAAAATGGCTGACTGGAAAGCCTTCATAAAAGAAAATGAGTATATATTGTGTGCAAACTCTTATTTATGAAGTTTGAATTTCAGTATCTCAATGTGAAACTGGAAGAGGACAGAGTGGAATATATTTCAGATTTCACTCTGAAATTTCACTCTGAAATCTGACAAAGCAATGATTAAAGCATCGTCACTTGACAACGCAGGTGCTTCTCTGTCACAGTGAAGAAAGAGATGATCCAGACAGAAAGTTTTCGACTTATCCGTCTCTGTATACACTCTGAGCCTCACCTATGGACTCACTGGGGGAAATAAATGTCCCTTATGGCCTGGGAGAACCTCGGGATCCAAATTAACCAGAGGGTATCTTGGTTAGGAATGACTGCTAGCCTGATGATAACAGTTTTAGATATAAATTATTTATCAGTGTTTTGAAAAAAGCTGGCACCCTGTCTGGGGGTGTACACCACTCCCTCCCTGCTCTCTGTTGGGACAGCTGCCAAACCCACCATGATTCCAGACAGATAAGGTAGAAAAGAGGGCAATCTGTCTGGTATCAATATCAAGCAAATACGTGGTTAAATGACTAATAGTTCACAAAGACAGACAACAAATCAGTTAATAGGAAAACAATTCTTTGTGGAAGGAGAAATCTCAAAATGGATTCACCTGATGAAACTAATCACATTCCACGTAGATCAAAGTTAATCTTTGGTCTCCCTTCAAAATCCTTCTATAGGTTTAAAACTCAAAGGCATCACTTAGCCTCTGTGTGACCTGTTTTGCTTAGAGCAAATAAGTCTGGGGAGATGTATTCAGTCTTTGAAGCCATGAAAGAGGTTTGGGTGAGCTGGAACCACAAGAGGAACTGAAAGGGGGGAACCTAAATGAAAAACTTGTTTCAGCTGTGCACAAATTCAAAACAAAAGGTGGCTTTATGAATCAAAACAAAGATGATCAAACTAAGAAGAAACAATACAGAAGCTGAAGCAAAGATATAATAAATGAGCAAAGCAACCTGACAGAGAACCTGTTGAAGCAACAGAAATAAAGATGAACAGCAGGCCCGATCTGAGGGCGGGTTAGCTGCCTGTCTAAAGCAAACAGGAAAATAAAAGAAACCAATCACCTATAAAGAAAAAAAGGACAGAAAAATTGCAAAAATACCAAACCTTAAAAAAGGCAGGTGTGGTTATTTTACAAATAGCAGATTCATAAAATAAATGGCTGCTATTCTTGCAGGCATGCTTCCTGTCTACTCTCACAACAAGTCTCAGCAGCTTAAATAAACATCAGATGTAAAGGTTTTATTTATCTCATGACAAGACAGCCTGATGAAGTTGATGATTTTTAACCTTTGCTGCTGTTTATCACACTTTATATCTCAGTTGATAAAAACCTGATTCGGTCTGCAGTAGTGAGCCGAACCGTTTTCTGAACTGAAAAAAGTTTGTATTCAACTGCAGAAAATGTATCTGCTGTAGTAAAGCTAGTAGCAAAAGCCATCTAAAAACTTGCATCTGCAAAATGTTTAGCGGGGCTCAATACAAATCAATGTCACACCTGTCAGATTGTATTTGTTGAACATTTAGAAAACCATGTATCACTTTCATTTAATGTTACAAATTTGATGAGCTGCTACATAAAATCTCAACATCACTGAAATTTGTAGTTGTAATGTGTGAAAATATGGAAAATTTCAAAGAGTGAGATTATTTTTGCAAGGCACTGCATATGTAGGGCAGGACGGGGCTGGATGTCACAGTAAAACTTTCCCCCTAGAGGCGCTCTTACAAAATGTTGGCGCGTACAGTACATTTCCAAACAGATGCCACAGAATGACAAGGTATTGTCATTCAGCAGTTTAGTACCTGACATTGAGGTGATCGAGGATCTGAAAATTAATTCCCACATACATTCCCTGTAAAACTTGGACTGAACCTGTGTAATTTTGGAAAAGAGAAAGAGTTAACGTCAGATTTTATATGCAATATTTTTAAACCCACATAATCCTAAACCAATATCACCTTCTTTCTACCTCACAACTATGTGCTATTTTGTGATTTATACCACTGAAATAAAATGAAGTTTGTGGCCCTAACAAAATGTGCAGCAATAAAAATGATTTTCTATCTGTATCCATTAGAAATAGTTTAATCCTTAGTAAGGATTCCTTGATTCTGTCCTTTTTAACTCTAGAATATATATTTTGTCAGTTCATAACATTATAGAGGTGCTTCTATGAGATGTTGTTAAGATATAAAATTAAGACTGAATTTTAAAATAAAAATTTTCAGAAAAGTTCCTTTCAAAATGGTTTTGGCGGTGCATACCTGTTGAAAGAATTTCTCTTAAGAAGGACAGGTTATTCTGACCAGGCACTCTTATGTAGGCCACAGAGAAATAGGACTGATTAAACTAGTACTGATAGTACTGATCTCCAGTACTATCAAATGACTATCAAAACCTGGTGCATTTATAGTTTTCCAACAGTTTGTGAATGAGAAAATAATTTTGCCACCACGCATTAGCTTTGTTAGTAGTTTAAAATATCTACATGCTCATAGAATTACATCATACGTAGTTTATTTTCAACAGCGTCTCATATCTTTTCAAAATTCTCCTGGTTCATAATTTCGTTCTAGTCAGAGGGCATGTTTTTGGTCTTTGGCGTCCCCTAGCGGCCACGGTGCGGTACTGGCGGCGTGCAGTGTGCCCTCCTCTAGAGGTGGGCTGGTCTGATCTGCAGTGAGCGCAGACTGAGAGGAGGGTGGGCCACTCAGACTGTCCCCCTGTCACTGATTCACAGATAAGCACAATAACCGCTTTCTGTTTCATATTCTGGGTCCCTGAAGCCGTCTACTTTACCGGTGGTGAGTTGATCGCGTCGTTTTAGTGAACCACTTTATTTACACAGTGGGTGATTAACGGTGCCCGATGGGTTTATTATGGTGCGGAGAGCTGGGTTTAATCTGCTGCACCTTGTCGCTCCGGTAAGAATAGACACGGAAGTGACAGCTGCGCAATGAGGTGGAAAGAATCAGTTCAGCTGACGATTTTAGCTGTAAAATCAAAGCAGCTTTCATCTTTAATTGTGAGAATCTTTTGTGTAACATGCAGGCCGCTTACAGACAGGCCTGTATGTTCCTGCTGAACAGGTGCTGCAGAACAGTTCTGGTTCAAGCTGCAGGCCTCACTTAAAGTGACTTTTTACAGCAGCTGAAAGAAAGAATCCACTGAGGATTTCATAAAGTGTTTAACATATTATATGGGCAGCATTATCAGTCACCTGACAGGGAGGTGGTTTGTTGTTTTTAGAATGTTGTTTAGGGTTAAAGTCCTGTGGATGATACCATCAGGATTGTTACTGCAGGGATCAGTTTTTTTTTTGGTCCTTCCCCCATTATTGAAGAAAAACCAGACCCATTCAGAGCTCTGGTGTGATTTTAACAGAGGGGCATTCCTGCAGAGTCTCCACAGGCGTGAGGGGCCTCCGTTTGGGGACTGGCCTCTTCTAACAATGCCCCCCTCTCCCCTGCTTTTTTATTTTTTTATTTTATCACAAGCATGGCTTCTTTTGGCTCCTAACACATCCTTCATTTGAATAATTTTTTTTTCTTCTTCCTGGGCCTTGCTGAACTATTCATAACACCTGAACATTTTCACATTTGGCACAGTCATAAAACTTAATGTACTGTACTTAGATTTTATGTAGGAGTGAAGCATTATGGGGTGGAAGTAAAATAAAGCACGGCGTCCAAAAGTGTTACATGTATTTTAATGCAATCTCAAATGTTTTGGAGCCTCTACTTGTTTTCTGTGTTTAGCTCCTTTTCCCAGTCAACTCTGAAAGAAACCATCCCCACAGCATGGTGCTGCCACCACCATGTTTTATGACAGGGATGTTGTTTTCAGGCTGATGTGCAGTATTATTAGCTTACTGCCAAAGAGCCAAAAATTCTAGTTTTTGTCTTGTCTGAACAGAGCTACATCTTCCACTTTCATTTAAACATTATATATTATTTTTTTGGTTGGTTTATCACTTAAAATCTCAATAAAATTCACCTTTTGTCAGTGATTTGCTGTGAATACTTGCGTAAAGAACCTCCCAACAGGTATTTTTTGCACAAACTCTGCTCATTAGGATTCATGTCAGGTAGAGCAGAGATACGCTCTGGTTCAAGTTTTCCCAGAAAGCAGCACAGCCGAATCGTTGTATTGATTATGTTAGGTTTTTGTAACTTGTGGGGAAACTTTAGTGTGAAAGAAGATCTTTAAAGTTAAAATATTTTTGGTCATTTGATTAATTTCCAGCTCTAAATCAATGCATAACCATTTCTCTCTGTTCCCTTCCTCTCCACAGTCCCTTTTAGCCTGTCCATAAAGAAAAGGTATCATATATACACGTCTTTTAGTATTTTTATTTTTACTTTGGGCTTTGGTGTGATTAAATTGTATTTAATAAGTGCATGCTTTTTGCTTGCTAATTATCCTCTGCTGGCTTCTACTTTTTATTGATTTCTAACTAATGCTTCCATGTCAGTTTTCTTTCTTTTGATATATGGCTACATCTTAGCCACGTTTCAACTTAAAATGAAAGGTACTGTTACAAAAAGGTCTGAGTCTAATTACTTGGAATCATTAGGTTTTTCTGAAAGCTAAATGCTCACAGCTACGAACATTTGCGCTTTACTTGCAACTTTTTGTGATAGAATAACACAAAGTAGTGCACATTCACAAAGTGAACAGCTTTCAGTAATTTCCACTTACAAAAGTGCAGTGTGTGTTTATATTGAGCCTTCTGAATCGGTACTCTGTAGACCCACCTTTTGTTGCAATGACAGCTGCAAGTCTTTTAGGTTCAGCTTCTGGCGGCTTTGCACTTCTAGAGACGGAAATGCTTCCCTGTTCATCTTTGCCAAATTGTTCAAGCTCAGCCAAATTCGACTTATGGCATCTGTGAATGTCAATTTTTAACCATGAATTCTTAATTGGATTTTGATTTAATGGTCCGGACTTTGACCGAACCATTCAAACACGCAGGTATGCTTTGATCTAAACTGCCTCTGTAGTCCTGGCTGTAGGTTTATCATTTTTCTACTTAAAGAGGTTCCTTTCCAGTATGTTTACTGTGACTAAATTACACTCATGTGAAACTGTACTGGTTTTGTGACTTCAGAAGGCTTAGTTCCACTGGATTTTATTCATGGGTATCAGAGCCAAATGGGGCTGAATACACTCAAAAAACACTTAAAAAAATTTTTTTTCAGCTTTTTTCACTTTCAAATTTGACAGGAAGAAAGAGTAGGTGCATACATTTGTGCAGGATTACTATTGTGAAATCTCAAGCTGTGGAAGGTTTTTTTTGTGTGTGTGTGTGTGTGTGTGTGTGCAACTCAAAGCTACAGTCCAGGGGTTTTGCAACTTCAGTCCTTGATTGTCCTTTGGATGCAAAAGTTGCAGGACAGTGACTCAAACAAATGGTTAATGATCAGTCATTTGCAAAACTTCCTGATATGCCAAAGATGTATTTCAGCCTTTTGATTCATGAGCGTTGGAGAGGGATGCATCCAAAAGCTGCGGGACAGTGACACTCGTGGACTGGAGTTGCAAACCCACGCTTTAATCATTAATAAGTAAATATGGAGAAGAAGAAAAATCTAAGTGCTACAGCTTCTTTCAGATGCTTTTGCTATAAGCAGATTTTTGGATTTTCTTTTTCTAACCAGACTTATGCCACTGGATGAAGTGTTGTAACATTCAGACAAGAGCGTGTCACTGTTAAACTTGCTTCTATTTATAAATTGCACCCGCCTACGCGCTCCATATTTCTGTCCTGCACCCAGTATGTATCCGGTTGGTGGGATATCTGCAAGCATATACGCCAACAGGCTCCGGTCAGAGGGCATGGGTTCCAATGAGCAGGCCGTGCACTTTGCCAGCCAGGACTATGAGGCTCTGAAGCAGGAGTGTGTGGAGGCGGGCTGCCTGTTTGAGGACCCCTGCTTCCCCGCTGAGCCCCCATCTCTGGGCTTCAAAGAGCTTGCACCCTATTCATCTAAAACCAGAGATGTGGAGTGGATGAGACCCACGGTAAGAAAATATCAAGGGAAAATCTATGCTTTCCTGCTAGTTGGTATGATAACAGTGAGTGGAAAATAAACTGATATCACAGTATTTACAACTGTCAAACAGAAAATTAGCCAATAATTTTATCTATAATATAATCCAGGGGTGTCAAAATCCTTTTCATTTTGGGCCATATGAAGATCATAAATGTTTAACTAAGGGCCATTTGTGGCTGAATGCATTAATAAAACTATATATTAAACTGTTAAAATATTATAGCTTTCTCTGTATTCAATGAGTTCCTCTTAAAATTAAATAACATTGAACATCAATTTGACACTGTACAAATAAAAAACGATTTGATTTGACTGATAAAATAATATTTAAGCACGCCACTATTATCTCGAGGTTCTATTTATGAGGCTCTGTGTCTTGAGGGCCACATAAATAGCTATGATGGGCCGGATCAGGCCCGCGGTCCTTGTGTTTGACACATGAGACATAATCTATTATATAAATCCATTCTAAAATGAGTTTGCAGTTCTAAACATCTTTTTGCTCATTACGTTTACTGCTTATTTACTGCTTCTTTTAATAATGAAAAAAGTCTTAACAGGCTGGTGAATATGTCAGGCTATCTACTCTGGCTGCCAGCCTGCACTCCACTGCTTAAGAGGCTGCTTAAGTTGAAAATTGTGGTTTTAAAACAGTGATGAATGGGTCCATTATAGTTTACACACCATGTCTATCACTGCTTTTTTTTTTGTAATTAGAAATTTGCCAAATTTATTTTTCTGGTAAGTGACGAAAGGAAGTTTTGTAGTCTTCTTTCAGCCAGGGGAATGGCAGTGTGCCGCAACACTTACAGAGTGTCAATAATCACTCTGTTAAGCCAGAGGAATTTTAAAATAATTATAAAAATAACTAATTCAGTTAGTAGGAAGAAGCTACATTAATTGAAAAAGTATATCTTAAAAAACAAAATAACATAATAATTTAAAATAAAATATCTTTTTAATGTCTTCTTGTTACTGGTAAACAGTGCAGCCTGGGTAATAATTTCTACTTTTCCTCATTCCAGACCAGAATTAGATCAGATTGATTCTTGTTTTGAATGCTTGTCATGTAATAATTCATGGACAGGAATTTGATTTTGACTGTTGCATGTAAGCAGGCATATCATGTCTCACTTTACATGTTGCAAACCTGGACAGAATCAGACTTGTAGGGACAGGCGCTTTGCTGACCTCTGCAGCTGTCGGCATCTCGGACCTCTCCCCTCTCTGACATTTGTTTACAGCTCCTCGATATTTACAGAGTTAAACCTCACGGGAGGGTGGCAGCCAGGAAAAGAGGTGATTTCTTTGAAAGAGTTTGATTGTCCTGACTCATTTCTGTTGTCTTTGTAGGAACTGACAGGGGACCCGCAGTTTATTGTGGGCGGAGCCACCAGAACGGACATCTGTCAGGGTGCTCTTGGTGAGTTATGAATTTGTTGTGAAAATAAGTTCAAAGAACAGATTCTGATGTGAGGTTCTGGCCTCTGATTTTCCCCTCCAGGCGACTGCTGGCTCTTGGCGGCCATTGCCTCTCTGACCCTGAATGAGAGGCTCCTTCATCGGGTTGTTCCACACGGCCAGTCCTTCCAAGATGACTACGCTGGAATCTTCCACTTTCAGGTTCTTTACTTACAATTTTCCACCCTTCCTTTATTTTTTTTTCTTTATTCCTATTCACGCCGACTCGACAGATGGATCTCTTTTTTTTTACTGCACTGCTTTGCATTGCAGTTCTGGCAGTTCGGCGAGTGGGTAGACGTCGTGATTGACGATCGATTGCCTGTCAAAGACGGAGAGCTCATGTTTGTCCATTCAGCTGAGGGCAATGAATTTTGGAGTGCACTCCTAGAGAAAGCTTATGCCAAGTAGGTTTTAAAAATTGCTTGCATTAGTTTGTTCAGAGGGATATTCTGAAGTGTTGCTGCTAAAAGCAATTAGTCTGAACGGTTTTTCTATTTACCATCAGGCTAAATGGCTCTTATGAGGCTCTCTCTGGAGGAAGCACCACCGAGGGCTTTGAGGATTTCACAGGGGGGGTGTCTGAGATGTACGAGCTGCGTAAGGCTCCCAAAGATCTCTACAGGATAATCAGTAAAGCCTTGGAAAGGGGCTCCCTGCTGGGCTGCTCTATTGACGTAAGTGTCGTTTGTGCCTATTCATCTGGAACGGCAATTTAATTCTGCATTATAAATGTCTGCTCACATGTTGAAACAGATAACCAGTGCCTTCGACATGGAGGCTGTGACCTTCAAGAAGCTTGTGAAGGGCCACGCCTACTCCGTCACCGCATTGAAGGAGGTCTGTCTCTCTGCAACTCGGTCAGCACAAAGCATTAAAGTTGTGGTTTGACATTTCCTCACCGCTTTGCTGTGTGACAGGTCGATTACGCTGGCAACGCGGTGCGCCTTATCCGAATACGTAACCCCTGGGGCCAGGTGGAGTGGACTGGAGCCTGGAGTGACAAGTGAGTGTGGTCAAACTTACAGGTGCATATCAAGATGGGAATTTATTTCTGTACTTGAATTCAAAAAGTGAAAGCTGTATATCATGTAGATTCATTAAGCACACAGGGCGTATTTCGAGATGTGTGTTTTCCTTCTGCTGAACTTTCTATTCACATATTTGGAGACTGCACCCTGTGAATACCCATCTATCTTGATTAACAGTTATCACTTATCGTCCTTGTAGAGGATATCGCTGATTGTCTGGTGGACATCTGTTACTATAGCATAATAGGCCATAAAATCACACTCTTCTACAGATTTTTCTTAGTTGTAATGCAATATTATAATTTTCTGAGAAACTGAATTTCAGGTTTTCATGAGCAATAAGTCATAATCATCTAAGTTTAACAGTTGTAAAAGTTGAAATATGCCACTCTTTGCAGTAAATCTAATTATGAGTTTCACATTTAGAATTGAACTTCTGAAACCAGGTACGTCAGTGATGTTCAGATTTATTGAGATGTACCTTTAAATTTTGTGAACATTTAGCTTTGGAGGGTTGTTTCTTATGTCATGTCTGCCATTCATAGTTCCAGTGAATGGGATGAAATCGACCCATCTGAAAGGGAAGACCTGCATCTTAGCATGGAAGATGGAGAGTTTTGGTAAGATTTGCATCTTCACATACAACAAGAAGTTAAAAGGATTAATATACGTTTCTGGTTGGCAAACTGCTTGGTTTCATACAACTCCTCTCATAAAGGTTTATAAAAAGCCTTAAAAGTTATTTCATGTTGCAATACTTTTTCTGGCACTGCAAAAGTCATAAAAATAAAATCCTATTAATTTCGTACATATATTGAGAGGAGAAAAGTGGCCGCCAGACACAGTGAGAGAAGACAGTTTTTCCTGTCCTGCTCTGGTTTTCTCTTAGTTTGCTGAAGCCCACTGGTTAAGTACAATGGAGAACCTATGATGCTGTGGGCCCTGGATAATCTTGCTGGGCTGCATGTTATCAAGAACTCTTTAAAATATCAGGGCATTTGAGTAAAATCTCTAGGACTTCAAATTGAATAATGGCTTAGCTCCAGAGTACATTAAATCCAGTGCTGGAAACCCACTGTCCTGCAATTTTTAGGTGCATCCCTGCTCCAACACACTCCAGTAGCCAAACATTCCTCTTTCTGTATGATAGAAACTTGTGAAAACTTGTGAAAAGATTTTGCTTCTCTATTGTCAAAAAATAGGTTCACATAGTTGTAACGGGACAAGGCAAAGAAGTGTGGCACTGGTGATTAACTTATTTTTATTTTTTTTATATATATGATTATTTCTTAGTGTGATTCAAAAATAAACTAATCTAATCTAACTTTTCTTGAAATTATTTGCACAGTGCAACAATGTTTCTGTTGTTGTTTTTTTCATTCAGGATGTCCTTCAGTGATTTTTTGAGGCAGTTTTCCCGGCTGGAAATCTGCAACTTGACTGCAGACGTCCTGAGTGAGGACAGCCTCAGTCACTGGAACACCATGAAGTTCTACGGCACATGGAGGAGAGGCAGCACCGCCGGGGGCTGCAGGAACCATCCCAGTGAGTCAGCAGCAAAAATCCAAAAAACACGTAGCAGAATATTAACATCAGGGTTCCTTCACAGTCATGAAGAGGCTGGAATAGTGTGGTATCTGGTGTCATTTTCCTGATCCTGAAGGAAACAAAGAAAATTTAGTATGACCAAATTTTCCCAGACTTTTCCTTCAGTCTTCAATTTTTCTGAGGGACAAATGTCTACTGGTGCTTAATAAATGCAATGATTTCACATTAATATCTTTGAAATGTACATTTCTTATCTTTGATTTGCCCCATCACTTTCTGACTTTTCATTTATTGACTAAATATGTACAAATCACAATCAAAAAAGTGCCATTTTACTACCTCTGTAGTCTCTGAACAACTTTAAAAATGTGTTGATATAGGTTTAGAAATCACTGAATGGGCATGAGCCAAAATTCTTGTCACGTATAACCCAGGATGAGCCTTTAAAGTCTTCACACACTGCTTTCCCAGAACTGGAATCAAGCAAGATGTGGCAGCATTTAGTTTTGCTCCTAAACTCTGGAACAAACTCCCTGAAAACCTGGCATATCCAGAGAAACTGTTGGTTCTTTTACATCAGGACCAATAAAAACATTTAGTTTACTGAAGCTTTTGATCAAAAAGTCCCAATAATGAACTGCTTGCCCAATCAGTGAAGACGGGCGATTAATCTGTTTTAAATTTGTAATTAGGAGTTATTCCTATTGATGCTGTTATGAGTTTGACATGTTGATCTTTTTAAGCAAAGCTTTAAGGTTTTTTGTTCTGTTTTTAGTGTTTTCATTTGATGTGAAATGAAATCACTTTTGATTGTCTTGTGCTTGGTGCTAAAATACAGATTATCAGGTTCTACATGTTCTATTCAGGTTGAACAGAGCCTGTAGTTCTTAGACTGTGTCTAAAAGTCCTAATAAATTAATAACAATTTTTTTTATTATTATTAAAAACAGCTTGGAATTCTGGAGGGAAATTTGTACTAACAAAGACACAAAATTAACAAACCTTTTCTTTAAAGAGTCTGCTTAGTCCAAGAGTAATAGAGTTTAAAATAGGGCCAATTTAAGTAGTTCCAGATGGAATAAAAGTAGTTGCTGTATATCACACTCTGAAAACCACAGGCCAGTGTCAGCATTGTGTTGTTTCAGTAACACTGAAAACGAATAATAATAAGAGATGCTCACTGTTCAAACGCCAGATTTCCATAAGAATTTTTTTTTATAAATATGTAAAAGTGACTATGTGTAGAAACTCTACAATGTGTGTAATTTTTAACAAAACTGGCTTGACATAAATGCTCCATGTCTGTAGACACATTTTGGATAAATCCTCAGTATAAGATCACGTTGCTGGAGGAGGATGATGACCCAGAGGATGATGAAGTGGCGTGCAGTTTCCTTGTAGCCCTCATGCAGAAGGACCGGCGCAGATACCGACGCCATGGTCAGGACATGCACACCATCGGCTTTGCTGTCTATGAGGTGAGAGCCATGATGGAGTGCATGGATCCCCCTCTGTTCTCCTCCTGTAGTTTATTAAAAATGCCTGCTGCCTCATGCCACCCATTAACAATCTTCCCTTCTGTTCCTTTTGCAGATTCCAGAGGAGGTAGGTGCAGGATCCCTTATGGAGAACCTTCTTACTTGGTACTCATTTAGCGATTTTCAAAATATGTCTTCACATATGCAAGATGAAGAGTTTCTTTGAAAGGTCTGTGCTGGGATTACGTACATGAAACACCACAACAACAGCAAAAACATTTTGCGTTCATTTACAAGAGCTCCTTAAACTGCAACCAAACTACTCACTAAAGCAACTAAAATCTTTTAAACACACCTGGCTGTAATCGGTGCATTGTTTTAAATTAATCGACATGGGAATATGAAAATCCATGTAAAGTCATTTGTCTCCTGCTGTCCTCAGCACAGAGGGTGCCAGAATGTGCACTTGAAGAAAAATTTCTTCTTGAGTAATTCATCGTGCGCTCGATCCGAGACCTTCATCAACCTCCGTGAGGTGAGCACTCGGCTGCGGCTGCCGCCCGGGGAGTACCTCATCGTGCCCTCCACCTTCGAGCCTGGCAAAGAGGCCGACTTCGTTCTCAGGGTTTTCACCGAAAAGCAATCAGAGACAGAGTGTGTCTTTTTTTTTTTATCTTTTTTTTTTTTTTACATTTTCATCATTAGCAGAAAGTGGGAAGGGAAATTTCATATTTATTTTTTGTTGCAGGGAATTGGATGATGAGATATCTGCTGATTTTGGAGATGAGGTGTGCATCAAGGATGAATAGCTCAAACATTTTCTCTTTGGAACTAATTGTTTGAAGTATATAGATCTCTGACTTTTATGTTTACCTTTCGTCTTGCAGGAGGAAATAACAGAAGATGATATTGATGATTCGTTTAAGTCCATGTTTGCCCAACTAGCAGGAGAGGTAACCTGAAATTTAATGGAATGGTGTTGATAATTGACTTGTTTTTCATTAATCTCAGGTGTAGAACCTTATTGAACAAAAAGCAGGATTTTAATGCAGTTTAAAAAAAGAGCATGGCTCTGGTACTGCTATTTTTTTTCTCTTTCTTTGTGGTTATACAGGACATGGAAATCTCTATTCGTGAGCTCAGGACAATTCTCAACAGAGTGGTCGCCCGACGTGAGTAGTTTTCTGTTTAACCTCGGAGTAATTTTAATGTTCCTGTGGACCCTCATCAGTTTGTGTATAGCTTGTGCACCATTTTCCAGACTGCTTACAAACTGCAGGGTCCCCTATGGTTTATCAATAAAAATCACAATTTTGCTGTTTCAGACAAAGATCTAAAGACTGATGGCTTCAGCATAGAGTCATGCAGAACTATGGTCAACCTGATGGATGTATCCTTATAACCCTATTGCACAAAAATAAACTAGTTAACTCCAGTTCTGCTGGTTATATTTTTGGAAAATGCATGCATTTGCCAGCATGATAAATTGCCTCGATGTATCATTTGCTGCCTTAACACATACTTTGCCAGAAAGATGGCAGCGCTCGCCTGGGACTGGTAGAATTTCAGATCCTGTGGAACAAAATCCGAAAGTGGCTGGTGAGAATGAGAGAAATGGGGGTGTACTCTTAATCCCTGTGTTTTTATTCACATTTTTGCCTCTTTATTTCCCAGGTCACTTTCAGAGAGTTTGATATTGACAAGTCAGGAGCCATGAGCTCATATGAGATGCGACTCGCTGTGGAAGCAGCAGGTCTAACGTCCACAGCTTTCTTGTTGACATTAATACTATCAAGAAACATAATGATTTCATATTTTAAACCTGTACCCTTTCTCTGCGCAGGCTTTAAACTGAATAATCGGTTGCACCAGATTCTGGTGGCGCGGTATGCAGAGAATGAACTGATTGACTTTGATAACTTCATCTGCTGCTTGGTCAAACTTGAAGCCATGTTCAGTGAGTAATTCTGCACTAAATATATCCAAACTTGAAATACCTCAGAGTTTTGCTCAATTGATTAATCTCAATATCAGGACTGTGGCACAACTTAACCTACTAAAAACTTCCAATTTAACAGGATCTTTCCAGCAGCTGGACAAGGAGGGATCAGGAGTTGCTGAGATAAATCTCACAGAGGTGAGTGATGTTGTAAAAAATATATATATATATATATTTAAGACTTTAGTTGCATCTAACTTTTGTTTCTGATTCCTTTTTCAGTGGCTTTATCTGACCATGTGTGGATGAGAAGCCCTATAGTTTCAAGAGAAGCTGCAAAAATATAGTGCCTGCTGTTCTGAGGACCCCTCAGGCTGTGAAACACCCCACCTCAGTGCAAACACAACCTAACATAGAAGCTTTATAGGAAGGTGCAGGTGCACTAAAGCCACATGTGTCCTAGGTATATGTTTGAAGATATGCAATACCGCAGCAAAAAAAAAAAAAAGTCATGTAAATCAGTCATCTCCAGTCCTAGAAAATAGCAGCATGTGCCTTTGCATGATGCACCAGCTGGAATATGCACCATAATTTGATATTTTTATTTACTAAGTTTATTTTAATATTATTACTGTCAAGTTATGTCCTAATTTTATGTCATTTATTGCTTACTAAAAGCTGCCCCACCATATTTTTCCTGTCAATATAATCATTTTTAGTTTTTTTTAAATCAAAAATAATCACCTCAGAATTCCATCAGTAGCTCCTAACTCCCACCTCCAGGTGGCAGTAGAGTCCTAGTTAGTGCCGACTTTTCACTTTTATGTTAAGATAGTTCAGTATTTAAGTTGAAGAAACTTGTTTTGCACTGAAATTCCTGCTGAAGGAAGCCACCAGTGATGTCATCTCACACTAAATCATATTTACTGTATGTGACATTAAAATAACATAATTTTTATGCAAGGGTTGCCTTGTTAACAGCAATTTTATGTGCCATTTTATGTCATGTTTTGTGAATGTATGTTGTGCCTTCAATAAATATTTACCCCAAAATGATATTATAATCTGTGCTCTGACCCACTAAACTGCAGAGCAGCAGATGATCCTATGATATAAGTAAAGGTCATATTTGCTGTAAACATGAGGCCTCAGTAAAATGTCAAATATGTAAAATAACACTTTAGCATTTGATGGGTGACAACAAAATACTATGCAGAAAACTGCAAATTGACCATTTTTCATTTTATTGAAAACTCAAGAGCTAAATGTTCATATATATCCGACATGATGAAATTAGACAAACGTGTTTGCAATTGCCAGAACTTTAGAGTAATCGCCTTCCATTTGACGTAGGCTTGTTGGTATAGGGACCTTAATCCTTGTTCCAGTAGGGTTGCCATTGTCCTCAATCAGAACAACATTGTTCGAATCAAAGCGTGGAGTCATGCGGTCCCCAGGCATTTTGTGTCCAACGATGAGCGCTTTCTTCTTCTGCCCTTTAATGGCCAGCAGCACTTTGTCGCCGACTTTCCCAATGCCATTCTTAGTGTAGACATGGATCACTCTCGGTGGGCGGTGATGTGGCGTATTTCCGAGAGAGCTGTTGTCTACCACGCGTACTCTCGTCATTTTCTGAATTGCAGGCGTAGCAACTGAGACACTGGAAAGATAAAAAATTAAGTCAGTAATTCTAAACTAAGCAACCTTTTGAAAGTACTTCATACTAATTATTAAAATGGGTCCCACTCATTTTCGGTTTTGATTTGAAAATGGAAAAAAAGCAAGCAGCAAAAATTATTGCTGTACAGTATTCCTTATGCAGCTTAAACCTTTGCAAGCTAAAACTACATCAACATAATTGGGATTTTAAGTAATGGACTAACACCAAGCAGTGCATAATGATGAACCTGAACAAAATACATCTTCAAAATTATTTACAAATTAAATTAATCTGAAAAAATTGGCATGGGTTTCAACCTCTTTACTCTGATTTCCACGAAGAACATCCAGTGAATCTAGAGGTCACCTCATCAAAAGAAATCAGACTCCACCTCTGTGTCATTAAATCTCAGAATAAATACATTTGTTCTGTGAAGGCCTTGCAGTTATCTTAGAGAACAAATAGCATCATAAAGATCAAAACACAAAGCTTTTATAGAGTGAGGAGAAGATTAAAGCAGAATTATGTTCTATAACATTTACCAAGCTTTGAAAATCTCTGTGAACACTGTTGAGTACATTATCTGAAAATGGAAAGAGTAACTAAAAGCTTTTTAATGAGAGTAGTTGCCACCAAGGCCACATGAACTATGAGCCTGCACCTCACAAATGTTCTCTTATGAAAGTGTCAGATAAAAAGAAGTTGCTGTAAGAAAGCCTGAAAATGTGTCCGTCACCAAAACAAATCAAGAAGGACATCAATCAATGCCTTGCAACAAGGTGGTAGCTGCGTAATGCTGAAGGGATGCCAAAAATGCAGCTAACCATTTAGTTGTAACATGTAAAAAAAAAAAAGTTCAAGAAGTTGCATTAGCATTGCAAGGCTCTGTAAATTTCACCTAAAGTGTATTTTTATGAAAAAGAATACCAAAACCAAAGACCCTAAAATGTGCTTACAATATACTTACTGCACCTTTCAAAAACGACGTACATAAAACATTTTTTCCCCAAAAAAGATATTCTTACCTAAAATTTCTTTGAAGTATTGTTGACGACGTCTGAACGAGCACCACAGGAAGTTGTTGTAAAAGCCGGAGGAAAGTCATGATTACAACTAATCTTCTGCGGCCTGTGGAAAACATGCGAACGGTTAGCAGCTAATGCGCTAATGCTAGCGGTGTCAAACTTCAAGTGGGAAGGTAATAAGATTTAAATATGCTAAATACTTCTCAGTTTGATCATATTTGAGACAAAAAGAATATAATTAAATTGTCACATTCATCAGATTGAGTGTAAGAGCGTACATTTAACAAAATAAGGTAACCCTTGTTTTCTGCTCCATACCAATTTGACATTGGTACGTCATCTGGAAGCGACTAATAAATGTAGCTAGCGAGTTAACAAAATGCTACAAAGTACAAACAAATATTACTCACCGTAATATGAACTTGTAGTAGTATCCTAATCATAAATGTTGCCAGATTGTGCGCGGAAAAAGGCCAGAAGAAAATGGGGAAAAATAGCCACAAGCGTATGTTGCTGTTGCTATGTCACAGACATGCGCAACAGTGTGTAAAGAAATACAATAAACTAGATGTTACTCATCCAGCCCCAAGGAGGACTACAGAGGTCTATGGGTTTAAGACTAAGACGCATGCGCAATCTACATCTCACATGTCTGGGGCTATCTCTAAACTTGGTGTTAGACTGGTTTAGTTAGCGACTGTTGTCCCACCGGCACACAGACTGACTCAGCCGCGGTGGCGGAGCAATGTTTATGTGTACTAACAGCTAGAAATATAGTTTCACTTTCTAATTTTGTTTAGTTTGCTTTAGTTTTTGTCGTTGACACTCGTTGGACTTTATCCAAGAGTTGCCTGATAGTCTCAACCTGTTCTCGAAGAGCTAAGTCGCTAGCTTCTTCTTGGAAACAGTGGCCAGTTTTTCTCACTGCTGCGCATTATTAGAAAGTAAGTTGTTTTTATTATATATGTATATATATACCGGTGACCACTTTAATTTTTAGGATGTGTTCTCTGGTAGAGACGATTTTTTTTCAGCTCTGTGTGTTAAATAACTTTTTCGGTGCTGTCAGACCAATATCGGCGTAAAGCAATCTCTGTACCATTAGCGTTCGGCTAACATATCTGAACAAATTGATCCTTTCTTTCTGCTCAAATTGTGTTTTAAAGTATAAATACACACACCCCTATCTATATAAATAGATGTAATATGACTACAAATTAAATACTTGTGTTAGTATTAAGGATACTTCATTAATACCGCCGGATTGTATGACCAATGGATTCGCCTGCCTAACGCAATCGGATATTTGTTGCTAATTAAATTTTAATAGCGATATAAAGGCTAACTCGCTGTAACGATTAAATGATTTTTAGAAAGTTTAGAAGAGTTCAGAGATCGTCATGCGTGAACGCAACAACCTAAGCTAGAATTGCGGTCCATCTCAACAGCAGTAGGAAAAAAGGGCGACATTTAGACACGACTTCGTATACTATTGTCGTTTTTCAGCTATCTTGCAAGTGGTCTTTTAGCCTCTGATGGATTTACTGACCTGGGTTTCATCATGGACGGATGACTAGTTGGAGCTTGACTGAAATAATTAATCTCCGAGTTATCCCCTACATATTGAGAGCCTGTAAGAGATGCATATGAGCTGTTTGAATACATGAGCCATGGTGCATGTATGCATATAAACAGTATCGGTATTTGTTTCAAACTTTCCAGAAGCATCAGTCTTTCATAATGGATTACCTGATGAACTGGATTGAATCGTACATTTGTCCCCCAGTGGCGAAAGCACCAAAGATAATATTAAATAAATATAATTTATAATGGAAAAAATATATCCTAAATTTTACAAGTAAATTATCTTTTGATCTTTTTTTTAAACCAGTTGTGCATTAAAATGCAGAAGACTACCAATTGAAATTTGTTGATTCACTGCTTACAGAGTGATATATTTCAAGTGTTTTTTTTTCTCTCTGTACTTTGAGCATGTAAGCTCATGAAAACCCACAATTGAGCTTCTCAGAAAATGAGAATTTACACGAGAAGTGATAAAATTGTATTTTATTTTTATCTGAAATGGGTGGTGAACATTCATTCTGGCAAATTTTTACATTGTTACAACTATTGTTATGAACTTGTGTGTAGTATTTTGCTTTTTTAGCTCTGTTGGTGATTAGGGTACATAATTGTGTTTTTAGTTCTAAGCAAAATCATTTGGAATAGTCATTTAATTAATTGTTAATTATTCATTTTTTTTTGTTCAAGAAGCATCAGTTTCAAAATTTGCTTATAGCAGCTAAATTCCCCCACCCCCTCCCAGATCATGAAGTTTTAGTCACAATGTTAGCCGTTGATTGAGCACGTGCTTGTTCTTTAACGGTTTGAGCAGCTGTTTCTGATTTGGCTCATTTCTGATCATTTCTTAGCCTCTATTTTGTGTTGAACATAAGATACACCAACTGTAAAAGTAAAAAAAAAAAATGACAAGCTTTCAGCGGTTATTTGATGGAGATATTTTTGGAGTGAATATAAAATGAAAGCATTAGAAGATTTTTGTGCATTATTCATTATGGTATGTCATGTATTGATACATTTTTTTGTTATTTTTGCTAAACTCAAAACAAAGCGAATCAATGAACACACTGTCTTAAGCAATTACTAAAGGGCACTGAGCATTTTCTTTCTGTTTCACCTGCGTTAGATTAAATCATTGAAAATCTGTGAAACCTACTGGCTAATTTAATTGGTTTGTCACTTTTCTTCAGCTTTAATTCGCTGGCAACATGACATGAAACTTATTAGTGTGTTCACTCTGTAGTTAAATCTACCAATAATGTTAATAAGTATTATTTCATTAATACCTACTGTAAGAAGTGTTAATTAAATCTATCACTAGTGTTTAAAGTGTCCCTTAACTTTATTCAACTTTTTCCATGTTTGCAGTTAATCTCTCTTGGGTATGATCTTGCATAACACTTTGACATTGTTATGTAACGTCTAATGTATACAGAAGGTTTGTTGATTGAATCTCAGGGAGCTGACAGTGATTTACCAACCAGGGTAATATTAGCATATAGTCTTGGAGATTTTAATTAAAATGTATCATTCTATCTAATAATGTTTGCAATTATGACTAAACCATGTCAATTACGCAGAATATGATACTTTTATGGTGAACATGTTTGGTTTACACAAGCCAGATGACTTTATAATAGGGTGTGCATTTATTTTATTCATGATTTCACATCCTAAAGTTTACTTCCAAAGAAGATAGAAAAAGCTAAAAAAAAAAAAAAATAGGTAAAAAAAAATGGCCAAACATTTGTTGGACCACATGTTATCTTCCTTGTTCATAAGTATCTGCAATGTCAAAGCATTAATTTCCCTTCAGGGATGCAAAGATGTGTAGTTTTCAAGAAATTACACATATTTTACCTCAGGAAGGATATTTTAATTGGTATTTTATGTGCTAAAATATAAGTTGACATGCTGGACAAAAATGGTTGAAGAAAACAGTTGAATAGCTAGTTGTTTAAATTTCTCTCCCAAGTGTTTTTTCGGGTATTTATCCTCATTCCTCTTGGTTTATAATCCTATAAATAAGTTTGCACTAGAAACTTAGTGTGAAGGTGCTTGGATTGTTGGCGGTTTCAAAGCATGAAACAAGGCTTGGTCAAATAGTTTCCTTATGACTTTATCAAACAGAGACTCACTCAGTAATGGAAAACACTATAGATAAAAATCTCTTGGTGACTTTCCTAGAACCATCAGAAAAACACCAGAAATTAATGTAAGAAGTTGGTTCAGATAAACTCACGTAGACAGATGATATTTCTATTTGGCCCTTTAATCACACAATAATGTTAAGCATTTCTTTCAAATGTTCTGCTTTTGTGGTTTTGGGCAAGAGGAGCTTGGTACACATTAGTAACCTAACGTCGCACATGTAAAGAAGTACTTGAAGGAAATGAAACTACAAGTCCAGCTTCTGTGACAGGACATAACCCTGAGCTCAGGCCTTGACCCATCATGCGCTACTCAGCATGCCTTTTTAACTCCAATGCCTGTTTCTGCTGTACTTAACATTTAACATCTGTGTCAGATCTCTATCTGAACAGAGATGTTTAACTAGGACATAAAACTGCTGAATTGATGTGTAATTTGTACTCATGTATTAACTTCATTGAACCATTTCTCTGAAATAAACTTGCTTGTGCGCTTGCAATGGCTTTTTATTTTTACACTGAAGCAAAATTAAATCTTTGTAGATGTACATTACAAACTGATTCATTTGGTTTTGAAAACAGATATTATAAAAAAAACCAAAAAAAAAAACCAACACTTTTTCAGGTGCTTCACCATGTTGCAGGTCTTTAATCTGCAAAGCGCCCATGACGGGCATCAGTGTGGGTGAAGACACAGCTGCTTGGATTGAAACCGGTCCATTTGAACCCAGTAGTCTCTATCAGTTTATTGTTCGACTCTGGCTGTGGCTCTCCAGTGATATCACAGCATTCCAGGGAGAAGATAAATGAGTTAGTGTTAGGGCAGATGAGTAGCATTGTGGATTCGGCTGATAGTAGTGGGCAGAAAGGCACAAGTCGAGCTGTGCAACTGCGAAACGGGTAGAAAGCCATTACTTCCTGAAGCCTTCGGACAATATCTTTGAACGTTTTCCAGTTCAAAGCCTTTCACTTTAAACCATTAAATCAGTTAAGTATTTTCCATAAGGTTCTAAAATGGAAATACACCTTTTTTAGTAGCTAAAGGGAAAATTTGCTCTTAACTCAAAATCGCCAATTGTGTTGATTTCCTGATCATGGAGGTTAGTGTCAGAAAGTCTGATCCATTACAGTGTTTTGAAGTGCATTGTGCATTATTTATGCTGTGTGCCTACTCAGGGGACATGTTACCTACTTCTGTTTTACTGCTAGACTGAAACTAAGGATTTCTAAAACAAAAATGCAAATCATTTAGACTCTAGCTATGTTGTCTGGTGCGTTTCAGACATAATCCTCTTATACTCTCGCTATCTATTCAGGATGTCATTATGAACCTATTTGCATTTTAATAAATTTAAAAACATATATTCTATTAGGGTTTTTTTTGTTATTATTTTATATTTGACACAAGTCTACCTACAAGTCTAGTGCTAGAAATTAGTTACTTAGTTGTGGTCTCTTTTATTTACATGTTGATGTTCTTTAAAAATGTTTTGTCCAATTTTTAAAAAAAACAACTCGGACTGTGTTGGTGTCCAAATACTCTGCTGAAACTAGTCCTTTATTGACAAGGGATGTGTCAGCAAAAGGAAAGAACCTGGAAGAAATGGAATATAAGGCCAACCCATAGCAGGCTTGTTCCAACAGGCTTCATCTGCTCAGGCTCACTTGTCAACTTCCCTGCTTACAAATCAGAACAAATTACAGGGGCTGGAAAGATACCGTTTAATTTTTATGGGGAGAACCCACATCTCTTTAGTAATTTAAGAACTAGGCTGTGAATATAATCTTTTGT